TGACCCTCTCCTCCCATCCAGCCCCATGCATCTCAGAGGCTTGGACACTGGGGCCCAGGGCAGCTCCCTGACCACCTGGGTCATGTCCAACGTGATAGCTTTGAATCTCAGTCCTGCGGTCTCTGAACTGGAGGGACGCTGGGAAGATAGAATGCTTTAGCTGGAAGGGTGGTGAAGACGCTTGGTGGTAGAGAACAGGACAAGACTTGAGAACTAACAGATCCATTTCAGCCCAGAACTCAAGAATGCTCCTTCCTCCACTCCCAGGGACAGAGTCCCGCGACTTGCCACAAGGGCGACATCCTGAACCCAGAAGTCTTTCTTTACCAGTGGCGCAGGAACAGTTGGGGTCCATTTCCAGCGAGGTGAGGCCGAAAGTCGGGAGGCAGTAGGCAAAAAAGATGCTTAGCAGGCGGAAGGCGTGGTGGAACCCACGTGGCCGCCGGCCTCTTTTATAGCCCCGGGAACTGGCGCGGGCGCAAAGACCCCGCCCCGTCGTGCGCTCGGCCCCTTGAGTCAGCTACTACCCTTTCTCCCCCGCGGGCTGAGCGCAGAGCCTGGGCCGGGCGCACGTCACCCTGCGCGCTGGTCTGTGGGCCCCGCCAGCCGCTTTTGCACCCGCTCACGGGAGGGGCTCTGCGCCGTGCGGAACTCGGTGTCCCAGCCCGCCTGCCCGCCTCTTCCCAGTTTTCCCGTGGCTGTTAGCTATTGCCCCCTCCCACGTGTTCCAGGAACTCAGCCTCTGGGGTCCTCTCCTTCCCATCCTCCGCCCAGTTATTCTCAGGTTCGCCCTTTCCTGGAACCCGTGTGAAACCCCAGCTTTCCTCTCAAGTACCCTGACCGAGAGATAGCGGGGAATCAGCCCGGGCTGTGTGCTGTGTGCAGAAGACGGCCGACACTTGACCTCCATCCGGGATCCGCAGCACTCGCTGCGTGTCCCCTATCTCTGCCCTCTGGCCCCGTTTTTTCAGTACACGATCACACCATCTCGGCCTCCTTTCATCCTGCCACCAAGCAGAAGGTATTAACTGAGATCTTCATCCCTGAGCCCACTGGCCTAAAGTTGTTAAGAGGCTCATTGAGGTCCAGCCGGGTCCAGAATGGTGTGTCCCAAAGCCTGGGATGCCTCCAGGAGAGCGCTTATTCCACGTAATATGCAGTGTCGATATTGGATAAGATTGCAAGACAATTTATTATTTCCTTTTGCATTTTCCCGACAACTACACAATATTGAGCATGTGCCAGGCCTCATTTTCATCATTCACTCTTTGAATCCAGTACAACAGCAGTGCGTAAGGCATTGACTGCTAACCAGAAGGTTGATGGTTCAAACCCACCAGCCACTCCTGGGAAGGAAGGTTGGGCAATCTACTTTCATAGTGATACCACCTTGGAAACCCAAGGAGGGGTCGGTCGCTATGAGTCGAATCCGACTCCTTGGCAGTGAGTTTGGTTTTTTGGTTTTTTTTTTTTACAGTGGAGGAGACTGAACCGCGGAGAAGTTACATACCTGTTGGTGACAAAAATGGGATTTGCTCCCATGCAGGCTGGTGCAGCATCACACCCTCACCCTCTGCCCTCCCACCATTTCCCGCCAAGGATCAGGATGTTGAAAACCTGGCCCAGAGGCACAGTGGAAAGAGCACTGAGCTGGGAGTCAGGATGTTTCTGCATAGCTCTGTGACCTCTCTGGGCTTCAGTGTCTCATCTCTCAAGCCCAAGACAGAATTGTATCTTGTCAAAGGGCCCTTCCAGCTCTCAACTATGAGAGGCTATGAGTGGCAGGATTTAGTTGTCACAAACAATTGATCTGCCACCTGTGGCCAGGCAGTGAGGCCCTTGTAACTTAGGTTCAGACAATTTTTTCTACCTCCAGGAAAATGAACCAGGTCTGATGTGCTCAACTGTGTGTTATGTGTCCTTCTCGTCAGCATGAGCAGGTGGTGGCTGCCCTAGAGAGGGTCATTCAGTCCTCTAGAAGTATGGGTGTGGGACTAGAGTACCAAACAGGTCACCTGCACCAGGATTTTATATAATATTTTTCCTTTAAATGATTAATATATTCTAAATTATGTTTGAAAAGCAAATTCTCTCATTCTTGAAAATGAAAATTAATCTTACTTTCAGACATAGAGGATAACCATAAAATATTATGTGTGCTTGCTTTTTTTTTTTTCCCCCTTCCTTTTATTTACTTTTGGATCCCTTTTGTCCCTGTCCTGAGTGGGAGTTGAGGTTAGCTAGATCTTTTTAGAAAAGTTTCAAGGAGCACAGAGGTGTTGAAGACATACTTGGGCCAAACAGCCACTTTATCCTAGAACTTCTCTTTTCCTTGGGAGGCTGTTTGAATTCACACTCAGAGGGAATACTTTCTAGCTCTGCCGGTTGGGCAAATTAGTTACAGTCCTTGTGTTAGTTTCTCATTAGTAATACCGGTTCATAAATAATAATATTTTCCCTTCAGGGTTGTTGTGAGCGTTCAAAGAGTGGAAGTGATTAAGACAGAGCCTGGCACATAGTAAAAAGAGCTCTGATGGCGCAGGGCCTAAGGCACTAACTAGATTGCTAATTAGATTGCTTGCGGTTCAAATCAGCCAGCCACTCCGTAAAAGGAACACCAGGCACTCGATGGCAGTGGATTTGGTTTACTATTATTATTTTGGTTTGGCACATAGTAAACATAAATGGTATGCAATTGTTAGGAAAACTGGAAAGGAAATAACCACTTTTCCTGTTATGCTATTTAATGCCGAAACGATCTCTCTAAAATAATCACTCCCCCGGGGGCATCCCATGCTTTGAGAGCCGCCACCTCGGACTGAGTCGGGCTGTAGTGAGCCTCTGAACAGTTTCAAACAAAGCAAGGACCATAACAGAAGAGCTATGACACCTCTTCCGGCATGGCCAATGTGGCCGAGCAGGGTGTACTGTGTACTGGAGAAACCGGGCAAAGGCTTGAGGCAGGGGCAGGAGTTAGGTGAAGTACAAGTGAAAGTCGGTGCTCTGCACACAGCACACACCTCCGCTCGGACCCTCGGCTCCCGCTCGATACTGGTACGCAAGCGCTGGAGGCTGGAGTTGCACACACGGGCTTCGGGAAGGAGCGAAGCTGAAGATAACCCGGCAGAGGGGTGGGAAGACAGCGAGGACCCCAGGAGTTGAGATCCTGGAACACCCGGGAGCGGGCAATAGTGGACAGCCATGGGGAAAACTGGGAAGAGGCGCGCAGGGACCCTGGGACACCGAGTTCCGCGCGGCGCACGGCCCCTCCCACGAGCTGGTGCAAAGGGACCGCGGGCGGTGTACACAGAGCCGAGCGCAAGAAGTGGTGCGCCCAGCCAGCTTAACTGCGCTCAGCCCGCGTGCGGCTCCGGGGGCGGTGTGGACTTGGGTCTGGGCGCACGGCGGGGTGGGGTCTTTGCGCCCGCGCCAACTCCTCCGGCTATAAACAGCTGGGTGGCCCCGTGGGTTTCAGCACGACTTCACCAGCTTAAGATCCTCTTTGTCAGCTGTCTTGGGACTTCCGGTGTCAACTCCCGGGAAATGGACCCTAACTGCTCCTGCGCCAAGGGTAAGTGACGCCGGACTTCTGGGCTCAGGATGCCGCCCTTGTGTCAGACGCGGGACAAAGTGTTCCTGGTGGTGGAGGAGGGAGCACTCGAGTACTGAGTTGAACTCCAATCTAGTGCTATTCTACCTCACCAAGCCTCTTCACCCCCCTCCCAACTAGAGAATTCAGTCATCCCAGCGCCTCTCCAGTTCAGAGGCCACAGGACTGAGATTCAAAATTAGCACGTTGGACATGACCCAGGTGGCGAGGGAGCTGCTGCCCTGGGCCCCAGTGCTCTGTCCAGACCTCTGAGATGCACAGGGCTGGATGGGAGGAGAGGGACATAAGGTCTTGGCCAGCCGACCCAAACATTCCTGGGCTGGTTCTGGAGCCTGAGACCCTCCCTGTGAAGTAAAAACAGGACACACTCCCCTTTCCCCCAGGAAGGGAGAGAGTGATGACTATACTTCAGCTGGTCCTGAGTTGACAGGATCTCCCAGGGCTGAGTCCACAGAGAGTAAGGTGCAGGGAGTGTTTGTTGACTGACTGCTGGGTGACCTGGTTCACAGCTCACTGCTCACTGTTTTTCTCTCTTCCTTGCAGGTGGCTCCTGTGCCTGTGCTGGCTCCTGCAAATGCAAAGAGTGCAAATGCACCTCCTGCAAGAAGAGTGAGTGGGGGGACTTCCCAAGGAATCTGGGCTGAGCAGGGGAAGGGGAAGGCCCAGAGCCCAGCAGGCGGGAGCCGGTCACTGACTTTCTCCCCATCCTCCATCCTCCTCCC